TATCGCCAAGAACGCACCCAGCGCCGCAATGGCAGACCGCAACAGTGATGGTAGCGAACATGGGTCTCTCGCTTTCATTATGAGAATTCCCATGATGGCCGTGATGGCTGTGGCCGGCGTGCTCGTCTATCTCCTTTTTCTCGTCCGCGGACTGCTCAGCTCGATGCGCCGTTGTGTCTTCGGACCTATCGGATCCGCGATCTTGCTCGTAATGGCCGTCGCGGTCGTGACTGGCCATGCCGCCTGCAGTGGGATGCTCGCCACCTGCAGTGAAGTGCTCATTGCTCGTCTCACCGCCAGCTTTGCCATGGGCGGGATGATGAGCAGACTGCGGAGACATACTGTCCCCTTGGCTGACCTTTGGCGGACGGCCGTAGTTGAGATATGTCCATAGTGTGATCGGCCAAAGGTAGAGTGCGTTTATGATATAAACCGGGATCCTGTCAATGAAGCTGTTAGAGCAGCACAGCAGCATAGAGCGGGCGGTGGTGTGTGCACATGATAGCCATCATCGATCTCCATCCCCGCCGCAGCACAATATCTACCGCGATCCATATGGCGACGACGCCGGCGACGCCAATTGAGATTGATGAGATGACTGTCAACACAAGGGGAGGAGTGTATGAAGAGTTCAGCTCGGACATGGTGTCGATGCTCGTGAAAGTAATGTGTGATAACAGCGGCCAACAGTACAGCAGGCGTCAGTAAGAAGCGCCGCGACACCGATCGGTGACCACACAGAACAGCATGAATATATCATATACCAACGGTGATGGGTAGACCGGACTGCGCGGATTGTGCGGATGACATCAGTCCGTGATATAGTTACGTTGGTCTGCAGTGATGCAAAGCTCATTACCATCGACAAAGCCTAGGCTGTAGAAATCAGGCGAGCCATATTGCAGGCCGTAGGTGTTGTTGGGGTGTGCGTGAGATGACGGCCTGCGCTGAAAGCGATCAACACGCACAAACCGCGCATTTGACGCAATGCTCCTCCGCCCCCTGGCAGCGCACATATGCCTCAGCGCTAGCAGACCCCGGCTCCGCGTCTTGCCATTGTCGACATATTGTGCTTGACTTAAAAGCCTAGACTCGAGACTGTGGGGACTCCTGACGATCATGGAGCCTGTTGACGTCACTCTCGTTTCGCTGGAGGTATCTGCCGGTTCCCATAAAGTGGCCTTTGTCGAACAGGGCCGCTTTCCAGCACCGCAAATACTCCTTGCCGTCACTAGGAATTGTCCAAAGATGGACGGTTACGAAACATTTACAGACTCTCCAGTTTTGCGAAGTTGTGAACCATCGTCGCAGTGGTAACAGTAAGGAGACAGCACCGCGGTACATGCACACCTAAGCGCAAAAATACCACGGAGGTTGCGCTTTGCTCAAAAAATTCTTGGTGGGCCGCAGCACCCGTTATTTTATGGGAACTTCTGTATGTCCGTCATCTGAGGCAACTGCTGGTTGGCCATCCGTTCTAGTCTATTCGTACTTTTTTAAAGCTGTGTCCTGGCCTCTCGGGACGCCTTTCCGGACGCCTCTCCGCTGGAGATGACCGACTTGACCGTTGAATGTAGCCGGGCATGCATGAAACCTCACGGTGACGCGCTGGCCCGCTCCTAGTCTCAGCAGTTTGTTCTATGAAATTGAACATATAGAGACGCGAGGCTCAGCGTTGCAACTCTAGGAAGACTTACTCGAGCACATTCCGGCCCGGGAAACATTATCATGGGCCTATCATTTTCCGCTCGCATCCTCTGGACATTCTGTTGCCTATCAATTACCAGCTCTGCTGCCGCCACCGCTCCGCCCGGAAATGGCAACACCACTGGCATTACTAGAACCTACTATGTTGCCGCTGTGGAAGAAGCGTGGGACTACATGCCAACGTGAATGGACCGCGTGATATGTCACAGCCCTTGTGCTCACTCTGACCGACTTATAATGGCATGGACTTGATCAATGGCGTCCCTATCCAAATGTCGCCGCAAGCAGCCGCCTCAGCAGGTCACAACGGGCAGAGGATTGGAACTTTATATACGAAAGCTCTATTTCGCGAGTATACCGACAATTCGTTTACCGTGCAATCTGCCCGGCCAGAGGTGAGTGAATGAGCGAGCTACATGTATCCTATGTGTAACAGGCGTTTAGTGGTTGGGCATGCTAGGGCCTATCATCCGTGCCGAGGTCGGTGATGTTGTCAAAATTGTGTTCAAGAACATGGCTACGAACAACCATACCATGCACCCTCATGGCTTGCGTTATGCAAAACCAAGTGAGGGGCTGTCCGGCGCAGGGCAAATGTTTGGTGGTGACGCCGTTCAACCCGGATCGACATTCATATATACTTGGAAGGTGCCAGGTGAGGTTTATTCTTTCCAATGACGGGTGAAGTGCCATATTAATCTGAGGTCACAGAGCGTTCCGGACCCGGACCGATGGACCCACCATCGCTAGCCTGGACTTATCACTCAGACGCCCGTGGAACTCAGGATATCTACAGCGGTCTGGTTGGAGCTTCTATCGTTTATCGCCCGGGAGAGCTTGACCGGCACACTCTGTTTGTCCCGGCACCCACAGGCTCGAACCTCATCGAAGAGGTCCTAACTCTGTTCATCATCATGGATGAGAATCAGTCATACTACATCGACGGTAACACACTGAACCGGACCAGTATCCCTCCTGGCGAACTCCAAGTCAACCGTCTCGATCCGGGCTTCCGAGAGAGCAACATGAAGCACACCATCAATGGTCGTATGTTTGGTAATCTCTTTGGACTTAACCTGACTGTCGGCCACGATGCACGATGGCATGTGGTATGGGCTTTCACTTCTCGTTCTTCCATCAACAGATTTACTGACCTGTTATATAGGAAGCGCTGGGTAAACAGAGGAACACGCATACGCCACATTGGCACGGCAATACACTGGATTGGGCTGGGCAGAGGGTGGATATTGTAAGTGTCGCGGGGCATTACTCTGTATGCTCTTGTGCTGACTGAACTGGCAGATCGATGTTCTCCCTGCGCAGACGAGGTCTCTCACTATGATCGTCGATAACCCAGGCAGCTGGGTCCATCATTGTCAAGTCCTCAATCACCGCGATATGGGAATGATTACGAAGTACACTGCTAGCTAATACCTCTTATGTCAGGAAAGACTATACGCTAAGATAGTAGATCTTGTAGAAACTGGGGCAACGTACAAGGTATCATTACGTACATATCTTGAAACCTAACGAGAACGTCTAGAGGATTGCTCGGTGCCGATATCCTTGATAACTGCTTCCGGCTCGCTTCCTCAGTAGTCGACTCTCAAATGACTTGTAGTGCTGTGACGAGCGTGTTTCTTTGGTCAGACCCATTCCGTGTTGTCTCCAAAAACCGAGACCTAGTAAGGCCGGCAAGGCGCAAAAACCGCGCATTACCTAAGTGCAAGCTCGAACCTCGTCGCATGATTCTATCACGACGCAATGGCAGTTCTTCGTGTAAGTAATTGGGGCCCAACTTACGTCCCGGTCCCGGGATGTTCGGAACGATAACAATGTCCCTATGGAAGTCGGACGATGACTGTGCGATGAGCGAATAATTAGCGGGACACTCTTCCTTGGTATGACGGTAACCACTTGGCGGCGCGGTGTCTTTAAATTTGTGGAAGTCGTCCGCCTCCCCTTGCAATCTTAAACTTCTCGACATTTTGCCAACTTATAAATCGACACTTGTCTTCCCGCAAAAACATTTCTTCGAACTTAGATACCATACGTCTACCATTCTAATGGCAGGCTGCGACTGCAAGAGCTGCTGTGGCGGCAATGGATGCAATGGGAAATGCGGTTGCAGCACTTGTGGAGTGCGTTGATCCCTCTCGTCGCGGCAGCGGCCACTAGCAAAAGTCAACTTGCAAGCACCTTGTCATGTTGCTAATTTGTACTACAGTGCACGTGATGAGCAGCCATTCGATGTCCGGCGCGCGAGCGACAATTTTGACATCGCAACCGCGGTTCGAGCGCCGAGCTAGAACTACGACGCTACATGGAGGCTATCAATGTGTGGAGTTCGGGATGGAGGAATGAACCTGATCTACGTACCTCTCGAGAAGGCGAATAAATCTGCAGTGGGGCGTCTCGTGATCAGAGAAATGTCTAGCGTTCAAATTCTCAGCCTCCGAATGTGTTCGAAATACACGCGATTGAAACACGGATTTAGACAGAGGGTTACCCCGCTCCCCACATTGAGCTTCTGACAACTGATCGAGCATGCTGTAAGGTTTTGCACGTAATTGTACATTAGTTGGGGGATCGGAAAGTACTTTGGCGGTTTAGTAACCAGTTCGTACGGGGCTTAGGTATCCCATCCTTCCCTGCCGATAGAAGGGCGTCAAAAATCGGCTTCGCTCAGAGCTAGGCATTCCAACGATCGACATAGGGAAGGTGAGAGATATATGAGGAGGGTTCCCCATAAGGCGTCACTGGTTTTCCAGGGGTATGCGGTAAAGTTTCTGCCCTGCGGCATCCCATCTACAAGTGAATGTGAGTTACAAATTGTTCTGCGCAGATCCCGGCCGAAATGTCAACCTCACCTGAGTAACCCCGGGCACCCCATCCATCTGCGGTATACGACGTTGAAGCACGCCCGTTTCGCTTGTGGGCTAAACCGTGCAACATAGCGTAAAGAGAATTACTGAGTGGAGCACGAAATATGCTAGTCGACTATGCCATCGACAGAGAGGTCATTGTGTACAGCCACACCCAGGATGTCTCCCTGATCGGCTTCGACCAGCGGCTCAGGTTGAGGCCGTCAGCTACATCGCCAGTGGAGCACTACGGTAGGTATACAGTACCATACGCACCATATGCACCAGTTTGATGAAGGTTTGCCGCAATCAGTCTAGAGTAGCAGCTTGCCGCAGACGCCATTCGCACTATTCGCGCAATCGGCTGGCGTTGCTGCTATCTCCAGAATTCGCACAGTCGGCTGGTGCTGATATCATCCGCACAAGTCGCTCATTGTTCCATACAGGCGTTCCTGATGTCCGCCTGTTCACGTAGTCGGGGTTTGTATAGCTCGAGCACAGCAATATAATTTTTGGCCGACCATGGACGCTTCGCATCAGGTACAAATTCTTATGGGTAACAATCCAAAGCCGCCAGTGACTAGCACATTGGTAAACCACATTCTGTCCTGTTTGTAGCCGAAGGGTCTCCACACAAGTGTAACGGCAACAGTTCACCGCAGTGGCTCGACCCGCCTTGATAGCAGGACACTGCAATCATGATGTCGGGGGACGTATGTGATATTCAGTACAGATTGATATACTCGTGCATATGGTCTGGCATATCTACTCAACTGCATGCCTCATTTCGCTTTCACTGGCCCCTTTATGGACGCATGCCAACCCCTGCCGCTCGGTATCCGACCACGGGCAGTCTGCTTCTCATGATCAGGCTACTACATATCACGCTAATACTGCTCAGGGCCATGGCCAGACTAGCCCAGACAGGATCCAGCCTTATACGTGTCCCATTACTCTTCACTGGGTAAAGAACTCCTGCAGCAATAGGCAAAGCCAGAAGGTTATAGATAAGAGCCCAGGCGAAGTTGAACTTGACTCTGCAGAAGACTACGCGGCTGAGACTGACCAAAGTCAGTAACGTCGTCATGTCGTGATTGACGAGGATGAAGTCGGCCGCGGATATGGCCACATCCGATCCAGAACCCACAGCGATACCAACATCCGCAATGGTCAATGCAGGTGAGTCGTTCACGCCGTCGCCAACCATTGCCACGACCGCTCTTCGGTTCGAACGTGCGCTTTCCAGCCCGAGGAAGGATTGTGACCTCTTTGGCACCTGGCTCCTCTGAAGATACTGGATTTTGGCAGCCTTCTGCTGTGGAAGTACACCAGCAATGATACGCTCTTCTGGTATGCTAACCATTGCGCCAACAGCACAAGCTGTTTTTGGGTTGTCCCCTGAAAGCATCCACACTTCCACGCCTTGATGCGCAAGTGATTCGATAACGAAGCGGGACTCCGGCCGGATGGCATCAGAAATTGCAAAGATTGCTGCTGGCTCCCAAAAGGTCTTCTCCGGGGTTGAAGCATCTCTCATTGCTACAATGACCACTGACTTTGCTTGGCCCTTCCATACGTCCAGGGTAGCGGAGATCCTGTTGTTAAGGGATATTCCGTGGTCGGCCATAAGAGCCTCGTTTCCCGCTAGCATTTCCATGCCTTGCGACAAGTCGCGGACATCAAAGGCCCCTTGCATCCCTTTGCCGGCCATTTCTTCGATATGCTTTGCTTTTATGCCTGTCTCGGGCGTTGATTGGCAGAAACCGACGACTGCTTTCCCAATTGGATGACTGCTGTTCCCTTCAAGATGTTTGAGTGCGGCCAGAATCTGCTGCTCACCTGGGACAGAATTGGTAGGTAGCAAGAATTGATAGTCAGCCACTTTGGGATCGCCACCTTGCGTGAGAGTGCCGGTCTTATCGAAAACAACGATATCCAGACGGCTCGCTTCTTGGAATGCTTCTCCGCCTCCCTTAGCAAGAATGCCATGCTTAGCTGCTAAGCCTCCACCGACAAACAGCGCGGTTGGCGTAGCGAGGCCGATACCGCAGGGACACGCGACAACGAAGACCGCAATAGCGAATTGTAAAGACCATAAAGGCCAGCCGCCCACCTCGACATCCAAGTAGTTTGGGGGTAGGGTCCCAGATACTCCAAGCCCCAGCCAGATCAGCCACGTCGCGATAGCAAGGAGTGTAATAACAGGGACGAAGTAGCTGGTAAGAATATCGGCTACGTTCTCGATCGGCGCGCGGCGCGCCTGGCCCTCGCGTACAACTTTGATGATCTGGTCCAACATCGAAACCCCCGACATTCGAGTAATTTCAATTGAAATAGGCCCGCCTTTGTTGATTGTGCCGGAATAGACAGTGTCACCAGCGGTCTTTGTCAAAGGCTTCGATTCACCGGTCAGAGAAGATTCATCGAAAATAGTGGTCCCGGAAAGGATGACCCCGTCCCAAGGCGGAGAACCGCCGTTGACCACCCTTATGATGTCAGTCAGATCGACCATATCGATACCGACAGGTTGGATGTGACCATCAGCTTTTTGCTCGTCATCGGGTAGCGTGAGGAGTGCTTCTCTGGGACGCAGATGCTGCAGAGTAGACACAGCATCTCCAGCCTTGGCTTTGCTGTATGCTTCAATCAGCCGCCCAACGAGCAGAAACATTGTCAGAAATACGACCGAGTCAAAATACGTCGTGGTTCTGCCAGAGCTGTCCATGCTAGGCGATGCCGCCGCAATTATCAGCTCAGCAAGAGACGAGAAGTAAGCGATTGTGGTGCCGAGAGAAATCAGCATGTCCATACTTCCAAAGCGGTAGAACCTGCGTCGTATAGGGATTGAGCTGCCCGGTCTCCACATAGAGTAGACTTCTTTGATTGTCCGACGGTGGAAAATGTCGGCTGCAAAGAAGTAGACGGGAGTTGCCATAATGAAAAGTGCCCATTCTGCACGACTAACACCATGTAATGGTTCCATGAGATATCGTCGATCAGAATTGCTCATGGGAACAAGAGCCATATAGACGACGCCAATGATGAAGGTGGCAATGGCGACGATGACCGAAAGGAGAACACGATAGAATATGCGCCGCTGGACGCGAGCATGCATCTGCCTCGCGCGCTCCTCGAGCGTAGGAGGGTGATAGACACTCGGTATAAACTCCGGATCCGCTGTTGAAATGGCACTGAGGATGGCTCTGATAGTAAAGTACGGCGCCTTGGGAGAATACGAAATCGTAACGATCGGGTCCTCCATCGTCGCCGACTTATCGAGTGATACCCGCCCATCGAACCGGTGGAGTGCATTAGCAACCCTGTCGGCGCAATGCGGACAGTACATTCCGCCGATTTTGATTGACACTGATCGTCGCTCGCCATGTGATCCGGCTTCAGTGGACGTGGGAACCACGTCATTCAAGGTAGCTCCATAACCAACATCCTCGACTGCAGTAGTAACCAGGTCCAAGTTTCCTTTCCCTTCCAGAACGACCGTCGCGCTGTTGTTGACAAGGTTGACATCCACGTTCTGCACGCAGCTGAGGTTTCGGATCGCTTCTGTGACAATGCCTATGCAGGAGCTGCACGTCATCCCCTCGATCGCGTAGAAGGCTTTGCATACGTCCGAGGTAGCTCGTGGATTGGACTCTGCCTTTGTTGAAAGCCTCGTAATACCTTCCAAGCTCGCCTCATAGCCAAGGCCATCGATGATTGTGATCAGTTGCGCGGCACTGGCTTCCTCTCCTCTGAAATCAATAGACGCACTCTGCGTGATCAAGGCGACGTCGACCGAAATCACCCACGGTGTTTCCTCCATAGCGGCAACGATCTTGCCGACGCAAGAACTGCAGCTCATCCCTGCAATCGATAGGGTTGCTCGAAAGACGTTGTCGGGCTGGGAGGACAAAGTATCGACCACTACAGCGTAGTGGTCCGTCCCGGATTGGTCGGCGACCTGGCTGGAATAGCCATCGTCTCCAGCCTGCTGGGCGCGGCAAAGCTCGCAGTGCATCTGATGCTGCCTCTCCTTCGTTTCCCTGTCCAATGCTCTTTCCCCTCGCACCCAGCGCATAAAGACTCCCAGGAAGGTATTCGATCGAGTGTCAAGGCCTCTGCCACGCCAGTGTGACCAGAATAGCGTACCTCGCACACTCTCCAGGCTAGCCAATTCCACCTCGTAGCCCGCCTTGTCCAGCGCTGCTGCGATCACGCGCGGCTTCAACGACGGGTCATGACGGACGGTCACGGTGTGCGACACGATTGAGGTCGCCACCGCGGCGGGCGGAGGATGAAGGTCCGCCAGTAGGCCATCGATGAAGGCAGCACACGTGGGGCAATGGGCGTTGGGAACGAGCAGCACCGTCTGAACGATTGACGATGGGTAGGAGTCTCGCGTGTCCGACATTGTAGGCGAAGCAATGACTCAGCGCGTGGTGATACCAGGAACGGTACGGGCCGACTGCGAGACAAAGGTGCCACTGCGATGCGCAATTATATGTCTGCCGATGAGGATTGCGCTGACACATTTCGCTTCGGCCAGGTTGCAGAAGCTTCTCGTCGCTTTGCGAGATGCGTGGCGTATGGAGAGCAAACGGCGCATGCCGCAAAGGGAAGGAACGCATCATGCCGCACAAATCGCGCGTTGCTTGGCGGACATATCTATCCGCACAAATCGCGCATGCTCGGGCGGCGCACACATCATCTCGCCGCACAAAACGCGCGTGGCTTGGCGGACACATCTATCTTGCAGCATAAATCGCGCATGCTGGGCGCAAACATCATTCGCCGCACAAACCGCGCGTTGAAGGATGGCATGGCTTGGCTACAATTGGGCCGACCACTATTTTGATCGACTGTCAGACCAAGAGAGCTAGAGATTCATATATGCGTACAGTGCGTCGAGCTGGCGAGAACACAGCAGAATTAATCCGTACGGCGTGACACCCGGTCCAGCGAGTCTTCCGCCCCCAGCACCTAATTGGGTCTTCCTCCGGGATCATTATGCAGCATAGCAACACGAGCCCGACGAGTCTGTAGGCACGGAATAACGATGTAGATGGCTGTCTTTGAAGTGAGCGGTAGTGTTGCAGGCCACTGCTATAGCTTAGAAGATGTGTGTTCTGCTTCAAGTGCCTTTCCTTCTACTACAATTTTTCCTGCCCTTAGTTAGTACAGTGATTATGTCAGTCTCTGGGAGAGGCATACTAGTATAGCCGCTGTCTCACAACGCTTTTGGCGCCTCTGACATTTTCGTGATACGGTCCTTACTCACAGTTTCCTGCGGCTTAATCTCCCCTAAAGCCAGCCAGTAGGCAAGCTCTTTTCGTGCTACAGAGTACTACTTCTCGAAACCGAAGACTATGAAACCTTCCACCCGATCCTCATTGACACGATTATCAAGTAATTCTTGAGCCCTTGCGCGTTGCTGATGTTCTTGGAGATTTCAGCACCATCTCATGATATAGAGCCGCGAGGATAGTCAATGATCCGCACATAGTAAATGTGAAGTGCTCCTTAGCTCTGCCTAAGGCCAGATTAAGCACGTGTCCTTCGACGTTGTCGAAACCATCAGCCATGAGCAGCTTCCTGGCAGCACGGAAGTTCTTAGCAAAGTCGAGATCCTTGTAGAACTAACTTGAAGCGTTGTCAAAGCCGAGCTCGGCGACCGCAACGCGCGATGTCACTCCAGTAGCATGATTGGCTGGCGAAACACTGGAGACACTTTTACCTTAAATACTCCCCTCCTCCCCCCAGCCCCACCTGCCACTTACCTTTGCACAAGACAGAACGAAGAACGCAGTCCTTATCTTGATCTCTATTTCATTACAGCCCATTTGTATGAGTAATGGCATTTGACGACCTGCCTCGACCTCCGTGCCTAGTTTGCGACAGCAATGACCCCGAATTGCAAGGCGACAAGGCCGCTCCATGCTGCGACGGTATGCGTCCCATCATCCGCTCTGTCCTTCTCTCGCGTTGACAGTGTTTCCATAGAAAGCTGTCTCGAAAAGATCGCGGATCGTGAATGCACGTCAGAATGCGGCGAAAAGGAGGAAGGCTACTGCAGCGACAACTGTGGTCCGTCTACAAATCACATCCTCCCCTTCCACCCATGCTAACTTCGCTCAGCCGAGACATGCTCACCAAAGCCTGAGCCACCGAGATCTACTTCGCCCTCGCAGCTTGGAAAACGCAAACGCAGCGCTTGTGATAGCCATGCGCGTAAGGTCCGAAAGGACTTCGCCGATGTCCTGATGAAGTTCGGCTGCATCTGTAGAGAGCTAGTCTCCCGCAATATGAAGACGTGCTGCAAAGCAGGGACGCCTGCTTCGTCGCAGCGCTCTACAGTATTTCGAACTAGGTCAAACAGCTTGCTAATGGTATCCACCGAAGATGTGGTCGAAAAAGGTTTCATCGGACTCGACCTTTCCAAGGATTGCAGCACGGAAGGCGGTGAAATTCAGATGCTAACGGGCTGTGCGAATGCGAAGGCTGGAGACTGCATTGGTACTGGGACCCTCCCTGGTGTCGAAGACAACGCGTGCATCTCACGAGCGAAATGCTGTGCCTCAGACGGCTCGGAGACCGGGAGTCGACGTAATCTTGGCATCGAAAGTGGCAACAGTCCAGCGTGCGCCACCAAATCCCGCTGCGTTGGTCTCGAGACCCCTTCCTGTGGATCTAAGACCGATGATGGTTCGTACTGCGGCCCAACCAAGGTACGATGTGACCGCTCTAGCTGTCACAATGGAGAAAGTGTCCTACCTGCCAGCAGATTTGTTAAACAAGCGAAGACTGAGCCGGATATTGAGAAAGGTGCTTCGGCAATCTTGCATGTCTCATTGGCCGTGGAAGGACTGACCTGCACCGGCTGCGAGACGAAGCTCTTCCGAGCATTATCCGGCATCCCGGGGGTTCGAAATCTGAACACCAGTCTGGTCTTGTCAAAAGCAGAGTTCGATCTCGATGATCAAGCTGGTCCCATCGGAGAGGTAATCAGAGCCGTTGAGAAGTCTACTGGTTTTGCTTGCAAGCGATTGAACACTGAAGGACAAGAGTTGGATGTCCTTGTGGATGGCGATGCAGAAGCCTTCGTCCAGCGTCAATACCCGGGGGGAATCATGCAGCTGTGTGCCGTTGATAAGCGCACCGTACGCATCACCTTCGACCCTACAAGCATTGGTGCAAGAGCTGTTGTTGGGAGCTTGTTCGGGGTTCAGCTGCACCTCGCTGCCCCCAGGACATCATCGGACCTTGAAAGTGGACGGAAGCATGTCCGACATACTGCCTGGGTCACACTGCTCTCTGCTGGCCTCACAGTACCCGTACTCGTCCTGGCCTGGGCTCCCTTGCCGTCCCGTCCGATTGCCTATGGTGCAGCATCGCTAGCACTGGCCACTGCAGTCCAATTCGTCATCGCGGGCCAATTCTACGTCAGCGCACTGAGAGCCCTGATCTTCATGCGGGTGATCGAGATGGATCTGCTCATTGTCCTCAGCACCTCCACAGCCTATATCTTCTCCGTCATCGCATTTGCGTACCAGGCCATGGGACGTCCACTGCGGATTGGGGAGTTCTTTGAGACTAGCACCTTGCTCGTCACTCTGATCATGCTAGGCCGGCTAGTGAGCGCCTTTGCAAGACAACGGGCGGTCGAGTCAGTCTCTCTGAGGTCCCTCCAGAACCAAACAGCTGTTCTATGCGACTCTGAGGGCCACGATGAACAAGAGATCGACGTTCGCCTTCTGCAGCACGGGGACCTGTTCAAGGTTTCTCCGGACTCACGCGTTACAACAGATGGCGTCATCGTCATCGGTGCGACGGAAGTCGACGAGTCCATGATAACTGGAGAGTGTCTTCCTGTGGAGAAACACCCTGGCTCGTCCGTGATTGCAGGCTCTATCAATGGCTCTGGTGTGATTGTTGCTCGCCTTACACACCTCCCTGGGCATAACACTATTAGCACGATCGCAGCAATGGTGGATGAAGCGAAATTTCAAAAACCGAAGACTCAGGAACTGGTGGACATCGTTGCTGGTTGGTTTGTCCCTGTGATACTTGTCCTCACGATCATAACTTTCGTGGTGTGGGTCGCAGTCGGCATCTCTGTCCGACAACAAAGTGCAGCCACTGCAGTCATTACTGCAATCACTTACGGGGTCTCCGTGCTTATCGTCTCCTGCCCTTGCGCAATCGGTCTTTGCATTCCTATGGTTATCGTTGTTGCTGGTGGCGCTGCCGCGAAACACGGGGTCGTCTTCAAGTCGGCTTTAGCATTGGAGAGCGCGCGAAAAGTCTCCCACGTGGTCTTCGACAAAACTGGAACTCTCACCGAAGGCAGGCTGAGCGTAATAGAAGAGGTCATCTTAACGGACAAAGAACTCGCCACGTCTATTACACTTGGCTTGACGAGCAACAGCAAGCACCCGGTCTCGGCGGCGATCTCGTCTTATCTGCAGGCGAAAGGTGTCAAGGCCGCCGATACCAAAGACGTTCGGTCAATCACTGGTAAAGGCGTTGAAGGCACCTATGCTGGGGATGTCATTCGTTGTGGCAACACTCGCTGGCTCCAGGTACAGGACTTCCCGGAAGTTCAAAGCCTACTTCGCAACGGATTGACAGTCTTCGGCGTCACCATTAGAGGCCAACCGCTAGCCGTGTTTGGACTCTCGGACAGCATTCGACCCGAAACCAAGTTCGTCCTCGCGGAGCTCAAGAAGCGCAGGATCGCTATTTCCATCGTTAGTGGGGATGACGCAGGCGCCACTAATGCTCTGGCCGCAGAATTGGACATTCCTCTGAAGAACGTAAGGTCTAGATGCACGCCAGCCGACAAACAGGACTACCTGAAGAACCTCGAGACGGAGAAATGCACCATCTTCTGTGGTGACGGCACGAACGACGCAGTTGCACTGGCCCAAGCCGACATTGGCGTGCATATGAGCGGTGGCAGCGACGTGGCGCAGACTGCCGCCGACGTCGTTCTCGTGCGCCCGGTTCTTACTGGGATACTTGTGCTCCTGGACCTCTCACGCGCGGCGATGCGTAGAGTGGTTCTCAACTTCACTTGGTCGTTTTTGTATAATCTGCTCGCCATATTGTTGGCTGGTGGTGCATTCGTGCACGCTCGCATCCCGCCGCAGTACGCGGGCCTCGGCGAGATCGTCAGCGTGTTGCCTGTTGTTCTTATCGCGCTGCAGTTGAGGTGGTTCAAGCGTAACTACGAAAGTCAGTTGCATTGAAGCACATCGAGGATCAGATGAAGTTTGAATGGTCTATCGAGATATGGGGTGCGTACTTGGCGAAGATTAAGAGGGTGGTGGTTGTCCTAAACAGCTATTGAAGCTTGAACGCTGAATTAAAGTACTATCTTCAACACGACACTTCCTAGATGCCTACGACAACGGCCTATTGGAATGCGCGCCGAATTCCGAGTCGAGACCTTTCTCGATTTCTCCTCGGCACTAGAGATCTACTAGGGGTTGAAGGGTAATTTCATCGAGATCTAGATAAATTTTAGAGTACTATAAAGGTATTCGATAGGACCTTATAAATCTAGAGCTAGTAGTGAAAATTTATAGTTATTCCTAGCAAAATTGTAAAAGATCACTACTACAGAAGACTAGAATAGTAGATTTAAAGAGAAGAAGTAAAATCTATAGCTGAGATATAGATTCCTAGAAGTTCTTTAATACTTATTCCTAAGCACATTCGTCACGCTCACCCTCAAATCGTTATTAGACCCCTAATCCCTTTGCCGTGCTACGATATACGAGTATTAGTAGCTCTTCCGTATAGTCTAAGGTGACACCTCCGTGCGAGACATGCCAATATTGCAATAAGAGCCAAAATCGCGACGATTAGGATCGTTACATAGGGGGTTACTACTAGTAAGTCCCGAACTTTAGTAATACTGCCTATTATTCGGTCTAGTCGCCTATAGTAGGGACGTAGTAGAAGAAGCTTACGCT